TAGAATAGATCATAGAATTGCTGTGATAATTGGGATAGTAGTTCATTTCAGTTGCCTTTTTTCAAGCTTCACAGTTTCATATCCACTAAACTGGATCTGAGCTGGAAGGCAGCTTTTATTGTTTTATCCGAATAAATAAAAGATAAATACATTGACTTCAAGTTTTAAAATCTTCAGATAGTTCCTCTTAAGTCAGGGGATTCTTTAAATTCAGCACTGTGTTCTTGAGTTATATGAGCACAGAATTGTATGTGAGCAGAAAATAATAAAGCATTATAGTCTACATATTATTATCTCCATTTGTCATAGTGTTATTCTCTCTGGTTAAAATGGTGTTCTTCTGAAATCTGACAGTTAAGACTGAGTTGATGATTCTTCTAAAGTTCTGCACAGGTCACTGCCAGTTCTTTGTATGTCACTAAAAATTAGGTTAAGATGTGAAAGCCCTTTGTCGCAGAGTCATAAAAGTTCCAGATTGCAGATGGGGTTTTAGTTGATGGACTGCAGAAATATTATGCTTATGTGTTACATTTATTACTTTTCTGGTAACATGCCAGACAGCATTGATTTACTTCTGCAGAGGAGAAAAGCAGCCTTAGCACAAGAGCTAGATTGTTTCAAATTAAGTAGTTTAAATTTACTTGGGATGGCACAAAACCAGAAACTTACATTTTTTTTTGTCTCAATATAATTGTAGCAAATAACACATCCTTTGAATGACTGTTGGACAAATGCACCTTCAGGCTGTCCTCCTCTTGTTGGAGAATGAATTCAATTGAGATACTAGAAGTAGTTTTGCTGCTTTTTATAGAGCTCATTGCACAAGTCAATAACAGAACAGTGGCTGTGAAGGAACCTTTAGGATTCATTAAGGGGTAGCATATGTTATTGTTGTTTTACAACCTTCCTGTTGGTTGGTTTCATCATAAGTTTGTTGTAAAGATTGTTTCTTCCTTTTTCCCTGTTTTCTTACATTATGTCTTAGAAGAGCTGTTGTTGTAAAGTTAGTCTTTACATTGCCACATTGCCAGTAGCTTTTTGTGAGAGACTTAACATGCTTAAAACACACAACGCATCCATTATAATGGTGGAATACTTTCAAACTGTTTTTGGAAAAAATATTTTGTAATCTTTATTTTATAGGGATTTTATTTTCTATGAAATCTGCAAAACTGTTTCTAAATTTTCCAATGAGCACATTATCTATTGAAGGTAAACTTCCTTATCTGAAAAAAACATGAGCTCATAACATCAACAAAAATTAAATGACAGTCTGAATGACAGTGATATTAAATATTTGCATCACCATGTACTATATAATAAATTACAGCTCAAATTGTTTTGGTTGGGGGTTGTACAACAGAATGTTTCCACATCTTATTTTTCTGAGTATCATGAGGATTATGCTGTAAAGCATTTATTGACAGATCCTGTTGTTTCTGTCTGACAGATACTATCAACAAAAGATGTTCTTTCTTGATACCTGGCTTAGTGTTATCTCTCCTGAGGAGGTCGAAGTGGTTGTTTCTGAACTTTGGAAAATATGTGTGCTATTGATTGATTAGGCTGCTCTTCTGTCACCAGCAGGCTGGAGTAAATTGCTTGTTATTGATAGTATATTCGTGTTGTTTCCCTTCAGAAAACAATTTGGTTTTTCTTCTTTTTTCCATATTACTCACAGAATATACAAACGTATATTCTCTTATGTAATCAGAATAGGGAGGTAATGGCATCAACTTATTTGCTCAGGTCAAATTGAGCACTGTCTGGATGTGAAATATAGAAACAAGAAAGCAAATTACAGTAGTAACGTAATCACATGTCGATTAATGAGTTAGTCAAACAAATGGTATGAGAAAAATTAAACAGAAATGTTGTAAACAGTATATGTTTTTAAAATTTGAATCAGTTTTGATCTAGACCTGCTCTGATTTGAAGTTTAACTATCACACTATCATGAAGGCAGCACTTTGCTTCCACAGAATTTGTTTTGTCTCAGATTACTGCAGATACATTCCAAAACTCTTTTAAGCAAACCATTTCTCCCTAGTGTATTGAGTTTCCTGCTTCCTGGTTGTCTGGGACATTTTCTACCAGCTGTGCAGTAGCACTCATTTATTGGGGAAGAAAAGACAAAAATGAGGCCATTGGCATTTACATTATCAGGCTTTCTAGGGAAAAAAAAAAGCTAATGTATTATGAGATGCCCTTGCACTATGGATCTCTAGAGAGGTGGTCTTCACAGTGCTAATGTCCTACTTCCTCTGAATGAGAGCTCTATTTTTAGGAACTAGAGCATCTTTTCTCGTTCCAAGAGATCTGATTCTCTGTCTCTTGGGCCTCCCTGAGATCTTAGTTTTTCATCCTGCTATTTTAATGTTTACATTCAAGATATGCATTGAGGCAGTCTGCATCAGTTGAAAGCGGCCAGGTAGTTTTGTAACATCAGTTTTTATTTTCTAGTCTTCCTTGAAAAGGTGTGGTGATAATGAGTCAATCTTGTCCACTTAGCTTGAGAAGAGTGCTAAACCAAAGTGATTCATTTCAGTTGTCTCGGCAGTCATTGCATTGTGTCTTTATTAAGTGCACAGGAACACACTTCAATAATAATGTTACGGAAATAGACACGAATTAAAAATGATTTAACGATTTAAACATTATAATACAGGCAAAGTTGCCACAACTGCAACTTCAGTATTCATCCTCTCCCATTTCAAATGAGGCACACACATTTTTAAGGGAACATTTTTAATCAAAACTTGGATTCTCAAACCAATGGGGAAAATAAATGATATATCGCCAAAAACTACAAAGAATAATCAAAAACTGAAAACTGTTTGCAGTAGGTAATGCAGGTAATGCAGAGAACTTTGTTCCTTGAGATTTCTTGGTATGGTTTTACATTTTTGTCAGTTCATGTCAAAGACAGAGGTTAGAGCTGTCAGTCTCAGCATGCTATTGTCTTGATTTCTTGTGTGAGTGTACTGTATCTTTCACAGCTCACTGCACAGTGGGCCTGTGGAGCAGACGTTATTTAGGGGAGCAAAAAGCAGATGGGACGTCAGCGTGGGCTGGGGCACTTCTAGGGGGTTGTGGCAATTAAACAGCAGAGGAAGAGAAGGGCAAACTCAAATTACAACAAGAGCGACATCTGGCATGTTGCATCGAAGACATTTCATCTACGGTTTTTGTTTTTTAAAAATATATATTATGAATATATGATTTATATTTTTTTTCTTAAACTTTTGTGTTCATCTTTTTCATACATTTTCATACAATTTCTCTCAGGAATTGTAAATGGTGGTAAGAAAGGAATTGTAAATGAGTTGATCCATCTAATACAGTAGTATCTATCTCTGTCCAATTAGAAAGCAAAAAGCTGGTAAAGAACAGGGGGTTCAGATTCAAGTCATTTCGCTAACCTGGTGGACAGAAAATGTGTACCCAATATCATCAGCCAGTATCATGGAGGATTTTTAAGTGTTGTATTTGAAACTCTGTTTAAAGACTAAAGCAATGTTTAAAGTTCTTGACGTGGGTGAGAGAGTCTCTGTTTGAATCTGATACTGAGTGAGAACCCAGCTGTATCATGGCAGCTGAGGAGAGGGACAGAAGGAAATGAGGCTCAGGCTTGAGATGGGCTTTGCATGAAGCTATCCCTATTAGTGTTTATGAGGAAGGCTAGTTGTGAACACTCATGGACATCAAAGGTGAAAGGTAATGTGTATAGCCTTGACTGCATCTTTCTTATTTTGTGCAATAGGTTGTCTAATGGAAATCCAATATCGGTCTCTGCTTTAGATAAGCATTGATGTTCTGTCTTACTCTGAGTAGGTCTAAAAGGATAGTACTCAACATGCTTCTTGTCTGTATTTTAGTGGTTATTTTCTTATTGAGACTTATTTTTGTCTTACGCTCTGCATCAAGACTCTCTCTTGCTCAGATCTTTAGAGGGAAGATCACACCTACTTGTGCCCGTTGTATGATGGAGCAAAAATGAGCAAACTGACTTCTATATCAGAGAAACCATTTTGCAAGTGCAGGTGAAAGAGGACCAAGGTTTCCAAAAGAATCATATAGCTATGCAGGTAGCATTACAAAGAGAAACAACCGTCATAGTACTGAGCAAAGTAACTAGGTGGAAGGTTAAAACCTCAAATCCTTTTCAAAGAATTGCAGCAAATGAATGAGAATGACATGAGCATTTTGTTTTTAATGTGAGTGATAGCATTTCATATCTATAAATGCAAGCTATACAAAACTATAAATAAAGATATGTTCAGTTTGCATCTACACTGTATGAATTGATCAGCATGATTTCATTACTAATACTAACAAATCAACAAAGCAAAATATCAATTGGAATGATTTAGTCACAATTTTGATAATTGGATTGGACAGTGATGTTCTGGTTTTGGCAAGATTTTTCGAAGTTAGTGGAATGTTAACGCACACGAAGCTTGAGCCATTTCCCACCAGTCAGTGTTGAAATGTGCAATCACCAGATTAAGTCCCTGGTGAGAGCTAAAGTTACAAACTGGCTAGAGCAGGGGTGTCCAAATCTGGTCCTAGAGGGCTGGTTACATCTGCAGGTTTTCAAGGTCTCCTGAAAGCAACAGCATCTGAAGAACTGGGAGAAGCTGTTAAATTGGTGCAGATGCCAGTAAACAGCTGCGTTAGTTTGTTAAGAAATGAGCTGGAATGAAAATCCACAGACACAACAGCCCTTCAACACTGGACAAGATTGGACAGTCTGGGCTAGAATGTAAAAATGTCATGTGAGGTGAGAGCTGATCCCCCTAACTGAGTAAACTGAGTCTCTTAAGATTTGGAATTTCTTATTCCGCACTGTTGACTCACTTCCTTAAAGAGCTTTCTTGTCACCATTTGTGAATGCAAGGCCTTTATTCATCCATGTCTGAAAAAGAAGGGACACATTTCTGTGTAATAAATTAGCTTAAACTTCCGGATGACTTTTGTTTTCACATTTTTTCACACAGGACTTTCTGTTTATAAAGGTGGATTTCATAATAAGGATCTTTGACTGATAAAGAAAACATATTCTGGGGTGAAGGCGCAGCTATGATCCAGGAGAGGTAAGAATTTTAATTTCCCAGAACCATGGTCATAGACAATCTCCATGCAAGTTTCAAAGGCTCTTTGAACTGTAAGCTGTACTTAAAGTTAAAACAGATGTGAGTGCAGTATGTAAAAATATCTGCCTTTCTGCCGAGCACTGTATTTTTCTTTTCACTGTCTGGAATTTGAGAAGTTTGCTTTTCAGACATTTGGCATGGAGACTGCACAGTTGCTGGAGCATTTCAGTCACGTGAGAGAGAGCAATCTTACTGACAGGCTGCTGGAATCTTCAACTTCAGCTACATGCATTTCTACTAATTACTGTACCTTCTTTTTTTTGCTATTTTAGGCTACATACCTATGACTTCATTAGAGTACTTGACCAAGTATTGAGATAAGCAGATTGTATAGAACAGTTCCATAGACAGGATATTTGATGTGCAGTGTTTTGCTGTAGGTTAAGATCCCATCACAGAAATCTGTAAACACACATAGTATGCATGTGGCATTAGTAGAAAATTTCAGACAGCATAGAGGCCACCTCAGTTGATGTTTTTTTTTTCCATTAAATATAGTGCCGAATTAAAAACAGGACCGTTGTTTTTTTCAGACTGATCTTATGTGATGCTCCAGTAACATTAAGGCAGATGATAAGTTAGAACTGTTGCAGTGCTTCATTTTTGGAAAAGTGAACATTAAACTGTTTTAATCACATTCAAGCAATGCTCACATTTTTAGTTCAGGTGGGTAGCTGCGTCAGCATGTGTAAGCTGCAAAGGAACAAGTAATAGGTTTATTCCATGCTGAAAAAAAGAAGATAGAAAACACAACGTTTCGGCCGTGGAGCCTTCTTCAGGTGTGAGGTGAAGGTGTGTCACACCTGAAGGAGGCTCCACGGCCGAAACGTTGTGTTTTCTTTCTTCTTTTTTTCAGCATGGAATAAACCTATTACTTGCTCACATTTTTAGGCTGGGGTGTGAGACAATGGTCTATTTGTGCTACAGGGAGCTCTAGTTTTCCTTCCATCCTAAGATATCACGTATTAATTTACAATATACAAAATATATTTATTTATTTAGAATGTTTAAGGTTATTTATAATGGTCAGTTTAAAATATGTACCTGAACCAAGGAGGTACTTGCAAAAATTCAGAAGACCTGCAGATAAAAAAATAGTCCCAATTAATCAAATATTTAAATCAAATCGAGTAACGTAGTGCAAATAAAGCTATGATGGCTATTGAAAAATTAAATTTTATTGCTCTTGAACTGAATGGAATAGATTGATGATCTTCAATCTTGCAAGCTTCAATTATTCTGAAAATTGTACTCTAAAGATGATTGTGAAGAGAACTCTTCAAGTCCCAATGTGTTATGTGGTGGTATTAGATAAGATAAGGTAAATTTGTTGCATTTCTATTTTAATAAAATTGTAATTTAATCCCTAATCTGGAATTGTGAATTCTCTACTGGTCTCTAGAAATGACTCTACCACTGTGATCCCTGTACTGGTATTGTATGTGGAGATCGCAGGTATCTGGCTGGTCCCATGACCCACTGTTGCAAAGATAACTGAGTAAACCCTGGCCAGCTAAGTACTACCCAACACTGGTGACACACAGTCGGCTGAATGCTGCTGTTTGATTGGGAATCCCATTTCCATTCAGCTAGTGAGAAGGCCCAGGCTTAAAGTGGCAGCTCCTGGACCATAGTGCTCCGTTTTTGCCAGTGTTGTACACATACTGGTAGAGTGACTTGGTAGCCCCAATCATTATTATTTGAACGAGGATGAGAATGTTTATTATCTAAATAGAAACTGTTGAGTATTTTTCTTTTATAAAAAGAAATCACAGCTGCCTTCATAAAATTAAACCATATCAGCACTCTCTATTACTCTCTATTAGGGACATGAGATCTGTAGTAAGATATTAGAAGAATGTCACTGTTAGAGAGAGCTGATTTCTTGAACATACCGAACAATGTAACAGGACAGCAGGAAAAGAGTCAGTGGTCGAAGACAAACAAGGAGCCAAATCAATTAGGCTATGACATAACAACCCTTTCCTGTTCCAAAAAATCCATCGGAGACCCTCATGCCTAAAAATAAGTTTTCTGGAGATTGCAGAAATTATTTTTGCCGCACCCTGTCTTATTGTAGTTGGGATGAGGTACAAGAGTGTGTGTTCCTCTTCAGAAGCCCTGTTTAACTGGGGTCAGAGTAAAGCACCTCTGATTGAAGTTTTCAGCATTTTTAGAGTAAAATAGAGTACATCACCCCCCTAGTTTTTAAATGTTTTTGTAACAACATATAACTGCATGCTTAAGCCTAGCCACATTAATGTGTATATAAGGTACAGTACCTTCCCAAGAGTATGTGGAATATGGAATAAATATTTCATTTTTGTAAAGAATGTCACAGGATATGCTAATCTTCCAAAAATAAGGAGGTATGTGACAGACTTCTCTGTTGCAGACAGCAAAGGCCTGGGAAGAAAAGTGTTCCTTTCACTGCACTATTTTTAAATGAGCGTGTAGCCTTATCAGTCCCTGACACTGTCTGTTCCTGGTTGGGGACTGATAATGCTTTTGTCTGTAGTAAATCTATGTTTTCCTGAGTCTTCAGCTCCTACAGAGCCACAGAAGGCCCTGCCCTGAGCTGTCGCCTGCCACACAATTAACTTGTTACCATTTCAGACTCGGTTACGTCAAACAGCCAGCACAGGGAAACCACATATCAATTAAAGGACAGGCAGCTCAGCTATAGCAACTAACTGCATGCAAAGAGAAGTCTCTGTGTTCAGTGCATTTGTAATGGCCCTGGACATATACTTAACCATTTTTGTGGGCACGTAGGAGAGTTTGTAATTAGATATGTGAAAATTACTTACATGACAAAAATTGTAACATTTTTTTATCCACTGTAGATTCTTGTCTCTTTAGTGAATATATTACTTCAGTAATACCTGAATTTAGATTGTATACTGCATTGTCAAGGCATATATTACAAACCTGTTTTTACTCATTCATTTCTTGCAATTTAAATTTAAGAGTATGTGTCAAAGATAGAGTTTAATCGTAAATAATCAGATCTTTACTGTTTCTGAAAAAAAATCAAAGAGAAAAGCATATAAAAATATAATTCAGTGATCAATTCAATTCCAATTTTATGAATTCCTTGGAGGAAATTTGTTTTAAGGTAGATTCCAACACAAAATTACAACAAAGATAGACAAACATGTCCAAAAAAGAATACAGTACAATAGTGTTTCAGGACATAAGAGATATTTTACATTGTTTGGAAGTGACATTGCAAAGGGGATGAAAGTTTTTCCGAATCTCTTACTTTTATACCTGGGGACACGGAGACGTTTCCTCTCCCAAAGTAATGTTAAATTCACAGTGATTCCTACACAATGACAAGAAGACCTAGACGTTCGATGTGAAGATGAGCATTGGAAAAGATGTTTATAGACTCATATGTATATTTCTCTTTATGCTATACATTGCTTGCTTCAATTTAATCTCTTATACAGAATATGTCTCTCTCCAGAGAGACTCCACAAAATGAACTCAAAATGGTCATAGCATTGCCCAAGATGTGTGACAGAGACAGGTACCCTTCAGGTACACGTTTCGGTCCTCCTCAGCTTAACACATTCAGCTTAACACATTCTGGCACAACATAGCTCAGACACTTTCTCTCGTGCCCTCATCTTTCTGGATCTTTGTCTTGCACTACTGGGTGATGAGGCTCTGTTAGCTAGAGTTGGCATGAATAAAGTTGGATTTATCAAGATGTCAATGAGATCAGCTATTAAATTATTTGGAAAAGCAGTGTTCCACTAGGTGTTGCAATGTAGCCCAAAGAGAAAGAGTCATGTATACCATGTGAAAATACCTCTTACAGCTTGACGAGAAAGCCCTCTGTTTTCTCTAAGGCTTAGGATGACTTCCTTGACTTTGTAAACTCTATTAATTCTTCTCAACTGCATCAAAAGTATATGATTGAAAACCTTTTCTATTTTCTCTTTCCCAGAACCACCATCCCATTTTTAATCATTTATTTATTTTTCTAATTTCCAATGGGAATCTACAGGTGCAAGGATTATATACAGTATGACCCCCTATAATGGTCTGCATTTAGTGGCGCATTGTGTACACGATGTCTGTAAATATGTAAACATGTTTTTTCATTATTGTTAATGTATTGTGATGTATTAACTGCCGCTAGTACTGGGGAGGAGGGAGGGTCTGCTTGTCATCATTGTGAATTCCATTGTCTTTTTCCTTCATTGTTTTTTTGAGAAAATCCTTAAATAATATAAAGTTTAAAAAATGCAGTGGAGGGGTAAGCTGTACACTTCATAATGTTCTTCACCTTTAGAATGCTGTGTCTGTATAGAAAATTTCCAGTAGATCTGATCCAGTTTGCCCTATTAAGTTGGCTGCTAATAGTTTATTTTTAAAAAATCAGTCGTCGATACCTGTGCTAGGCTAGGATTGGTTCCCATCTAACTATATTGTAGTTTTATTAGTATAAACAGTCATAGATAGGGAAAAAAATTAAGGGGACTTTGTAGGCCTAACAGGAACTAACCTCTTTTCCCTCTCTTTCTTATTTTCATTCTTCATACTTTGCTTCATCCTTCTTTTCCTGACACTGAGTTTTGTTCCTCTACAGGTCTCCAGCAGACAGACATGTTCCTGGAAGTGTTGTGATTCGGAGCAGAAAGCCTCAGTTCCTGCTGCCCTCCACTATGGTCTAGTAGACACACAGTGGACAAGATGGCTTCTGCCGTTGCCAGTGGAAACAAGGATAAGCAGTCCCTGACTCTGAATGGGGTGGATCCTGAAACATGCATGATTGTGTTTAAGAATCACTGGGCTCAGGTAAACCCTTGTCCTTCTCTTCAGCCACGTCATGCGGCCCTGTGCAGGACAATGGGCTGTTGCGTAACGGGGAGGTTATGATGTGTGGCCATCTTGAGTTAGCTGGACGATTTCCATCCGTCCTCATTTAAACTCTCAAATATTTTGGCAGGAATTTGGAACATAAATGAGGACATCCAGTTTGATAATACAGCACAGCTCTTGGCCTTAGAACGCTAACACTTTTTAAATTGCTTTCCTTTATGTTCTTGAGGGCAAGATTTATAACCCACATGGGCTTTTGTTCTTGAAGAGACAATCCAGCCTGAGCTTGTAATTGAACTTGGACTCCAGTATTCCATGTCAAAGATGTATGGGTTAGGAAGAAATCACAGGACTGGCAGACAAGGAAATCAAAGTAAAAGCTGATAAAACTAAAATGTGTTCTTGAAATATATTTTTTCTTTATAAATCGAAATGAGAGAACATACAAGATTTCACAGAAGCTGATTGATTTAGTAAGAGGACAAGCCTTCATGCTTGGTCATTTATTGGTGAGTGAAAATGAAAGGTGACTGTTGCTGGTAAATCCAATTATGTTCGCCCCCAATTTGGGAAAGACAGGCTTTCATTTAAAACAGAAATTGTTACTTGATCACAGAATGCTTTCTCATGCAGTGAAGCATATGGTGTGCCAAAAAAAACAAAATAAGCTGTTTTTATTAAAAACAGAAAAAGTACAAGCCTAGAAGATTACAATTTTATGGTTTAGTGAAACGTGTTAAATAACAATAGTAAGGCATGTACTTTTGCATTATACAACAAATATTAGACATAAGTTTTGATTTTGCTGTATCTTCAGAAAATGCCTGTATTTTTGCTAATTCAGTATGAGCATGACAAATGTCTGAAATGATAATGTATATTCAGCCTAACATTGAAGCTGACCCAGGAAAGGATCTCATTGTATTACATTCAATGCACTTCTTGTCAGAATTCTTTATGAGTGTGTTTTTTCCATCATTTCTAGAGGTTGTTCTGCTTTTCCTAATATTATTGCAGATCTCTGTGTTCTGCTGGGTAATAACATTTAAAATAGCTGCTGAAATCCACAAACGTTTTTATTTATGAAGACTTTGGTGATGGTGATCTTGTCTAATGCTAAAAAGTTTGAATTATTTAATTATTCAAATCATATGCTTTCATCTGAAAATGTAACTTTTTTTGTGAAGTAACAGAATCTGCTGTCTTGTTATTTGTAACAAGAGTTGTTCCCCTCATATTTCACAGAGGAGCTTCAGAAAAGCTTTAAGGACTTTAATAATAGTCTGACTTGTGAATGGGAATATTTACAGTGTCCTTGTTACTTTCCTGTTCATTACCAGATTCAGCAATTAATTTTCTCAGGTAGATACACTGGTAGGTAGTCTTGCAGCTGTGGCCTTATCTTTATTTGTTTATGCCAGCACTTTGCTGTGGGCTCACTCTGTTTTGTAGTGTTTATGTACAGTACTGCTGAATAATTGTTCTTCCACTTTGGAGGGTTTTATCCAACTGTGAGGCCTATTCATTCATAATTATCTTGTCTCCACTTAGTCCCTAATTATTTAAGATGGAAGAAATCTTCCTAAGTCTCTTCCACCTTAAGAAAGAACAGAGAAATAAAGTCTTTACAATCTTGTGTACAAATCTTCAAAACTCATACTTCTGATTTGATATTCAGTGAGTGGTTTATCATCTCTTCACTCGCATCCCTTTCTGCTGTAATCTTTTATTTTCTTTGTCTTTATCAGTAGGAAATTCATCTTTCTGTGGGCTCATTGCTATGACATCCTGTATCTTGGATGTAGGGTTTTGTAGGTTAAAGGCACTTAGCTAGTTGTGGGGTCCCAGCTGGACTTTTGAACAAGAACGAAGGCTACACAGTTTAATAAGTAAACCATTGACTGGAATTTCTTCGCGTTTTGTGAAAGTGATAGCAATGTAAATTTAAGTATTTAGGAATCTCTGTGTGGCCAGATATGTTCAGTTGCCAGAAAGGATTGGTATTTGTAATATATATGAACCTAGTGTACTTTATTAGGGTATAGCACTGGCAGAAAATATTTATGTAACAACATTAAAAGGCTTTGGCTCCAGTGAAGATGTCTTCAGGACTTTTAAATTGGCTACATTAGAAATTAAGCAACTATGTTAATATTAAGTTTTAAAAAAAATTGTTTCTTTTCTCTGTTAAGGCCTTGTCTGATAAGATTTGCACCTTTAGATTTTTATGACTGCCTTTAAAATTAGGGAGCATATTTTGCACAGGTGCCAAACAATTTGGAAAACATGCCCTTAGTGTTATTCAGTCTTGAATACCACACCGGCTGACAGCATCTGTGGTCTTGTGATTGATCTGGAATATCTGTATCGTGTAAGTGGGTTTTGCCATATGACATTGAGTTGCCTTCATGTTTGTATTATTGTACAAAACTTGATTGTAAGTGCAGGACACTGTTCCTGCTGCTCAGCTTCTTGGCCCTGTGTTCTAAGTGACCTGTGCTTCTCCCTGTAGGTGGTGAAGATCCTGGAGAAGCATGACCCCCTGCGTAGCACTGGAGTGGGGCTGGGGGGCTCTGGAGGGGGCACCCGTTTCATGCCCATCCCAGGTGATGAGGCCAGTGCAGTCCAGAACTATGTGGAGCACATGCTGTTTCTTTTGATTGAGGAGGACAGTGGGCGGGAGGGCGCCATGGGGCCCATCCTGGAATTCGTGGTCATGGAGAACGTGATGGAGAAGCTGTTTGTGTGGAGCCTGCGGCGCGAGTTCACGGATGAAATGAAGATTGAGCAGCTCAAGATGTATGAGATGCTGGTGGGCCAGTCCCGCCAGCCCCTCCTGCACCACAAGCCTATACTGCGGCCCCTCATGATGCTTCTCAGTTCCTGCTCTGGAGCCGCCACCCCTGCTGTGGAAGCCGAGCTGGTCATTCTGCTCAACCAGCTCTGCTCCATCCTGGCCAAGGACCCCTCCGTGCTGGAGCTCTTTTTCCACACCAGCGAGGACCAAGGTGCTGCCAACTTCCTCATATTCTCACTGCTTATTCCCTTCATTCACCGTGAGGGCACTGTGGGGCAGCAGGCCCGCGACGCGCTGCTCTTCATCATGTCCCTGTCTGCCGAGAACAACGTCGTGGCCAAGCACATTGCAGAGAACACCTACTTCTGCCCGGTCAGTGTTTCCATTCTCCCCCTTTGAGACCCTCTGTGTGCGTGTCTCCACTCATGGTTTGATTGTGGTGTGCGTATACGTGTTCTCAGGTGAAGGCGTTAATTAAACCACACATAGAAGGTGTAGAATTTAAAAACCTTTAGGCCTTTGTAGTTACTTGGGTTGTGGGTTGGAATAAATTATTGATTTATTGAAATCTTTCAAAGTTCCTTTTAAACATTATTCCCTAATGGAGAGCCAGTTTTTGGTGCAAGAGAGATATTTACATCAAAGTTAATAGTGCAGTGATTGATTCATGTTATGACATACGGTGGATTTTTATTTTGCTCATCATTAAGTCAGGATATTGCTATTTAAAAGACGCTTAAAGATATTAATAAGTACTGTTAAGATACATTTTTTGGGGGGTATGGATTTTGTTATGGGGTATCAGGATATTTAGGTAAACACAGGTATTCATTCAGTCCTGAGGAGTGAAAGGAAATTCAATGAACAATTTCACCTGTCTTTGGATTCTTGAGAGGTCTGATTATTTTGCACTGAAGACAACAAGAACATTGCGCAGAGAGATAATGTCACTAACCGTGGTTTGTTTAGAACTGTTAGTAATCTTTGAAATTAGAATTATGTCTGTAGATTAATGCATTTATATTTGAAAATATTATCTAACTGTAACGTATGCAAGTTTTTTTATCACCTTTCTGATCTTGTTAGGCATGGGGTGAATATTTGATAAAATAATCATTTGGAGTTTTCAGATTTGATTTTGAACCTCAGAAAGAGAATAAAGGGTTCTCTTGGTTTCTCCACAACATCTGTCTGTCATCTGATCTGAACCAATTAACCAACTAGTATATTATCTTTTAAATTTCTAAAAGATACACAGTTTACACAGAATGTGAACAAAAATACAGATCAGATGATTGTGTTAGGTTTTCGGTCTGAAATGTTACACACTGAAAACATGTCAGAGTTAGTACTGGGTATGAGCTCACCCTGAGCATGAACACGATCCTGGCAGAGCTGGTGCACATACTGTATCTCTGGGCGGCCTGCAGTGGGATGGTCTGCCACTTTCTTCTGCAGACTGGCTGATCGGGGTTGGCATGACTGGAAAAACGTGGCCGCCGGCATAATGTTCACAACACATACTTATGTATGGTCTTTCATTAGACTCATCGAGTGTCAAATGGCACTGAGCAAGGAATACAACACTCCTCCACTTGCTCTGCTGGCAGGACAACAGTTGTTAGCCGAGCAGTTTTGGCTCAGCTGACACTAGGGGTGCTTCAGGCCTCTATTGCCTGTAAATACTATAGTTTCAAATGTGCTGAATTAGTTGATTAATTAGATAATTGGTGAAGGGATGAAAGTCACATTCTCTCTGGGGTTTAATTTAAACCAAGTTTGGTATATACTGTAAAGGGACTCATGGTGACAGCTGGTGTTGGGTTGTGTAGAGTAGGTTTAGTTTTGTATAGTGCAGACCCTTATGAAATAAAATCTCTGTGTACTCAGGCCTCACAAGCCACTTGAAGAGAGCTGGGCTTTTCACAATGGCTCTTGGGTTATTACCCATCAGTGGGCTCTGAGCATGCAGATCATTTTCATGCAGACAGGTAGTTGTAGACTTCTTGATGATACACCAGCTATTTCTTCCTGGATCTTCTCTTGTTGTAGCTACTGCAGTCTACAAATGGTAGAATGGAACTGATGGACTTGACTGTCCTGGGCCGGTGTGGTGGTGGCCTTCTGCCTTTTCAGATGTGGCCTGTCCCTCACAAAGCCAGTTTCACGGTTTCTGAGGACTAGTCTGCTGTACTGTATGTTGAGGTAGAACTTCTCATTTTCAGAGCAGCGTCTCTAAAAGAAAGGTGATCTTCATTACTAAAGCAGGGTATGGTCATTACTTTTGCTGTTCTTCCATTCATTAAAATAGTCTTTTTTTGGCTATTTGTACAGATTCTTAACTTATTTTGGCAGTTTTCTCTCAAGCATTAAACACTGACCACCTGTCATTTTTTTAAATTAAATTACGTGACTTTAACTTAGCATTTTATTATCCCAATACTACACACAAATTAACATAACTTTCTGGTCACTAATTAAAATATAAATAACATTATGTGCCCAATGACCTGGTATTATATAGCTTATGTATCTTGTTTTTTCATTATGCTTCAGTATGTAAATGAGTACACTGTCCTTTTACTCCTGTGGTTAAAATGTTATTTTATTATCATGAAATGCTTATCAGTTTCATGGGATGGGTGTTGAAGTTCAGTATCCTGTTTACATGCCATTTTCAGAAAGTCAGGCATTTATTAGAAATCCACAGAGCCAATTCAGAAAGAATATTTGCCTGCTGTTTTGATTACTGTTTGCATTCGCCAGCACAATTTAAACATCCTGCTAAAAAGCTGCTTTTCTGATATGACAGCCAACAAAAAGATAATTTTTCTTTTTGTACTTGACCTTTAAGGATTTCTTTCTATGCTCTTTAAAAAAAAAACTAGTCTTTTATTAGTATTATGTTATTTTTGTATTTCCCTTACTAAGCACTGCACTTTGTGGAACCTGGCAAGTAAATCTTGACAAAGTTTACGAAGCAGAAAGTACAGCTGCAGTTAAACCTCAGATTACCTACTGTACAAGTAAAAGTCAAGCTCAGGTCCCGAATGTTATAAATGAAAGGTATGCAATTTGAATGCCTTATACTTTAAATAGACATGCCGTTCCATTGCTACATCAAAACCAAAAAAAATATTGTGCAGGGGTAAAGACCAAGTATTCCTTGAAAAATGCCACTTCCTAAGTGCAGTTAATTGGTCCATATATATTACATTTTTGACAATTTTACCGTTTCACTGAAGATTGCTGGATAATTTCTAATTAAAGGTTAAAAGTTAATTCTTTCCTCATTCTTACTGTTTGGTAATTGCACTTTCACTGGTACATTTAAGAAAAGAAATTGCGTCTCTGTGTAATTCATGGCAATACACAATACCTTTTAGTGGTGTTGCCTCTGCACATGGATAGCCAACCGAATTCATTTTTCCTTGTATTTAATTACCTATTTGACACAAATGTATCACCATTCATAATCACTCATTAGCTTTCCTACCAGTTTAACTGCGTTTTCTCTTTTACTTTCTTGATTTGGAAGTATGCAAACTTAAAGGCTTCTCTTATTCTTTTCTTTAAATCTTTCTAAATAACATCACTGTAGCTGGAACAACAATTGATGCTTGCAATCGATAGTTTGCGATTGCGTGAGATCTACACAGTCACTGATAACTGATAACGTGGGACTAATTTTCTCATCTGAACTTCAAGAAATGAGGAAGAAAGACCTGTTTTTTTGAATCGCCAAACTCTTTTTACATGTCTTTATTCTGGCATTGATTGTCAAGAAAGAAAAGGAAAAAAAACAGACATACTTATTTAAGACTTTGTCAGGTGTTAAGACTTTTTAGAGCCAGTAATCATTTTCTGTGCAGTATGCTCTTGGGCAAAGTTGTCATGGTTTGGGAGAGAAATGTACCTCAGGACTCACAGGCAGTTGATGGGCTACAGGTGTCAGGCTGTTGATTGTCAAACAGACTTAAGGCTAAGGCCAATAATGCACTGTTGCTTTGGAAATCTCACCATGAAAACTACTGGCTCATGGTGAAGCCCAGTCTCATGTTGGCTATGTCCAGACTACAGTGCTGTCCTGTACCCTGAACACACAAGGGGAAGTGAACACAATGTTTCCAGCAAATAATTTGTTGGAATACATCTGGTTCACTATCTCCGTGCAGATGATTACCTGAATCCTATTATTCCCTGTTAATATCTTAGTCTTTTCAGTTGTGTATTCTTGCAAGTACACAATCATTTTAGTACTTTATACAAGTATTTCTTATACTGTATACTGTAGAGATGTAATCAGCCAATTACAAATGGTATATGAAGATAACTGATAACTGTAGAGAAATAATAAATTATATATGACCAAAATAATATATATGATCTTTCTTGTGAAAAGTTTTGCTGAATCCAGTAGTACTGTATATTTTCTTTGCTCATGGATTATGACCAAATGTAAGTAAGTCAATACAGGAGGATGGTTTATACTGTAAATGTTCACCACAAGCCATGGTTTCGTAGAGGAATTTAGGAAACTAATAAGAAGAAATTAGAGAAAATAATAAGGTTGGGGTACAGAAAGAGCACTTGTGAAAATGATAGGGAGGATTTGTCAGTTCAAAGTTGTTTCAGCACTTTAGAGCCATCTTAAGAGAAAAGCTGCGAAAACCTTAGACAGCTATAATGCCATCTACTCAGAGACAAAACCAGCAGGGTGCCTCTCTAAGCATGGTTCCGAACAGACAGCTTAAACTAGATTTCAGTCACATCGAATTGCACTGGTCAACTAACAGGTGAAATTGTAAGTATTGGTGATAAATGGGTTCAGCATGGTAATAAAATTCTTTCTATTTACCCAACTTGAATATAACAATTGTATTTGTAAAAGAGGGAGGTTGCAAAAATTGAATTAACAGGTAGTTCATTTTCTTTCAAAATGTATATTATACTATAAATAGTCTTATACCAGTTTATGTTTTTCATCTTTAAGTTTTAGATTTTATTTAAACTTGGGTTTGGGTTATGGTCAAGGCAAATGAAAGAAACGTCTGCAGGCTCTGTAATCACCACTTACATACTTGCCACTATTTAGTCTAGGGGTCTGAAGTTCTTAAGTTCTACTAGCTCACATCTTAAAATCCTGAAGGGAATTTTTTATTATTTGCCTTCATTTAAGAGAAGCTCGCTCATCTCTAGGTGCATAAATGGATGGTAGGGTTTTCTTGCTGGAGTCCACATTTTTAAAGATATCTGTCACATTATAGAGAGGTTGAATATTGTGGGATTAAAATTAAAACGGTTTCCTGCAATTGCTGCGTTTGTCCAGATAGGGAGAAACAAGAACAGAGCTTGTGAGGCAGCTAGAGTGTATACAGATATATGAAAACAGATTGCATTTGAAATTTCTGTCATCAATCTTCAGAGTATTCATGATTTCTGTGCACTTGGATCATTTATTTGTTTTTGTAAACATTTTACAAGCTAAACTCAATCATTATTTTTTGAAAACCAAACTTAATTCAAAGGAAACTAATTAGGTAATTTGGAAACAGTTGATTATACAAATGGTATCTGTTGCTGTGAAATGATTCAATGTGAGGTGTGAGTTAGGGCCGATTGTGCTTGACTGTAATTACCTTTAAGGTGCTTACATTGGAACATGAATAACACTTTCATGCCTTGGGATTTGGGATTAACTACATTGTGTGTTGTTATTCCCTTGGGTTGAGGTGACAGTTGAGTTCTCCAATTAAGAGAAGGTCTGTGTCCGTCCATTTTTACAAGATGTCCCTGTAAAGGTTACCACTGTGCTGAATTCATATTTAGTGCCCTAACAAAACTTAATTTTGTTTCAGCCTCTTATTTTCATGAAAGAAATTCACTTTGAGCTGCCTACCTTTATTGAAATCTGAGAAACTTCACCGATGTGGGACATCTGTTTCTTCAAGTCTTAAATGAATGATGGACGATGCTGATTTACAATTTAAGATTGTACTTAATTTTGAAAATCCATAATCCTGCTTCATAATTATACAAGAGGCTTCTTTATTTGTAAGGTTTGGGGTTTCGTTAGTCTGCTTTGTCATTGTTACACTGAGCAGCACAAATTGCAGATTGCTTTCTTTACCTACATGGTGAAACTGCAAACACCAGTCTCCGTGAGTCTAAAGCATGAGTTTAGTTATGTCAAATGGGGACACAAGGGAAAGGGTTTTGTAGTAAATAATGATTGCATTAGCTATGTGTTTAAGCGATACACATTTCTGAAAATTCATCATTGAAGTGAAACATTGATTATCTGCACTTACATTTATTTTTAAATACTTTAATCAACAGATCCTTTGTTTCTTTCTATTTTCTTTATTTTTACCTGAGTATTTACTTGCGTCCGAGTGTAATCTGTGTAGTTGTTATTTATTATGCTCGGTGACATTGTTGCATGTGGTGGTTGTGAGGAACACCACAAAACTACTGTTGCATTCTCATTTCATTATTAACTCTGGTAAATTAATGAGAATATTAAAATAGCAAGATGCTCGGCAGTCATTCTTGCATGTGAAAATATCAGTTCATCCAGTGTATTTACTAAAAAAATGTTTTGCCACTTCATACACGGACACTGATCAAAATAATCTAAACATAGACAGCATCCAGTACTCGTCCAGTTACACTTGTCAGCATTGGTTTCAGCTTGTAGAAGGGCTGAGAATGTGGCTGTAATTTGTTGCAGTTCCAGATTAGCAATTCCCCTGCACTTTAAGGCATTATTGTGATGAAACATGCTTTACAATAATTCATACGTGTTTCTCAACTGGATGTCTGTGACAGAACCAGGGGTGACCTTAACTGCAAGAGGCAAATTGGAGTTGTCAGTCAAACTGTAGGGCATTAGTGCACAGTATCCTACTAGATCTGTTATTAACCAGAGGGAATAATACATCCTTTAAGTGAAAATTCCTTGTAAGGCAGTGAGGGTGAAGTTTTTGAGCTGGCCTTGAATTGCTGGGAGGGATTATGTTATAAAGGCAGGTTTTGCACTACAAGAATGGCCCAGAGCCTAAACAAGTTAGTGCCGACATATGAAAGCCTGTTTGCGTGCCAGATTTGAGTTTGCCCTTTGTTGTGACAGTGTGCTATAGCATTCTTTGAAGTTTCTCTGCAATGACCAAAAACACAGCTCACACAGCTGATAAATGGAAAGATTGCTGTGTTTAGCAAGCATTCAATTTAACTTCGGATTTTCTATTCAGGTAGTGACTTTTTAAGTGTGGGCTTTACAAATCCATTTAACTCCTTTGTAATGAAAAGTAACAGAATGGACAGTTGGAGACATAGGTAGATAGAACATCTGAGTCAGTGTTAAAAGGAAAAGTAAGAGTGAACATGATTTTTGAAATAATGTTTTAGCGATGTTGATTTAATTCATGCATTTTCTGTACTGTGGTTTAAAAATAATGTGCATGGAATGTACAAAACACATAGTTCAATAGTGCCATGAAAATAATATACATTATCAGCATAAAAATTAAACATTTTCATGTTAACACTGTGTATCCAACAATCATGCAGGCCAATGTAAAACTTAAAAAAACATCTGACTCTTTTAATTGAAACGACAAAATCAATACAGATAATCTGATTGGGATATGAAGTTCATATTATTTCAGTGGCACATGAGGAAAAAATCATAACCTGATAGACAATAAAACGTATGATGTGTTAAATGTTAACCCATGTTAAAGTAGTCTACTGGACTACTTGCTTTCATGAAATGCATGGAAATATTCTTTAAATCTGCAGCAATCTTTCAGGATTAAGTATTTTACTTCCCATTTAAATTTTATTTCCTAATATTTCTGGGAGTTTCTGCTTCCACGCGCTATCTTTTGTTTTCCTAGAAACGAAACTAGAGGAATTAGATCACAAGATTTTTTATAACATTTCACCATGAGTCATGTTATACTTAGGATACAATTATAAAGCAGTCTTATTACTGCTTGTGGAATGTTTCTTCTTCTGCAGACTCTTTTCTGTGCTCCGCTTGATGAAAGAGGAAGGCTTTCTTTGGGACTTCACAGTGTTTTTGACATGTGAATGTTAGTTGGAGCAAGGTTGGGATATCTGATGGTATAAATCTGGACACAAATCAAGTGGGAAAAAAATTATTTATTTCTCTTCCACTCCAGATTTTGAGTTCCAATTCCTGTAGTTTCATTTCTGGGAAAACTAAGGACAGCACACAGAATCGAAACTCCCAGAAATATATACAAATACAAAACTCTGACAACTTACATTTTGAAAAGAAATCTGTTTAAAAGGAAATCCACAAAAAAGGGAAAAATAGTAATTTGTTTTTCCCCCTGTGGCCTACAGGTCCGGTGTTTAAAGCTTTTCTCGTTTGCTTCCCTGAGAAATTTGGTTGAAAAACCTCAGCTGTGTTTCTTCAGATTCACCCCTCTTCCTCAGCAGGTTTGACATACACACTGCACTAAGGCATACAATACATCTCCCAGAGGCGCCGCGCTGATTGGAATCCAAACCAATTTCACATTTTAGTTTGTACTTTCTCCTCTGCTTTGGCTGTGGATATGTCCAGTGCTTCTGTCTATTGGGATATCATCTGATCCCAGGCTGATTGGACACACTGTGAAATGTACTGTCCTCGTTAACTCCAGTTCATCAGATTGTATTCATATTTAATCTTTTGGGAATCATGTTTCTGTCATTTTGAGTCTGTGTGGGATTTTTCACAGTAGCATAGCATTAAGAAAATAAAAATGACAAGTAGGCTCAGCCAATTGCATTCAATTACAATTACAATCCACTTCCAGGACAAAGCCTGCTTGAAACGGAGAAGAATCTGAGAATGGGAGGAAGGACATGTATTTTCTATCAGAATTTGTACTTTATCTTAGGACAAGTTGAAAAGGGATAATTGATTACTAATTTTTTGGTAATCAGTTATAACACATAGTTCTGAAATACTATAAATCACTGGGGATCTTTGCACATCTTAAGAAACACCTTAAGCACATTGTAAGAAATATTGTTTATGGCATTGTTTTGTTTGCTGAGGATCTTAAGATGCTTGGTGCTTGCAGCAGATGAGTGAAGCTGTTTGCTTGCCCCACTGTAATTTTATAACATGAAGTGCTGCAGTTAAACCTTCAGTGAAGGGACTTAAGAGAAAGGTCATATTTCTATGAAATTTTTAGTTTCATTTAAAGAACTCAATTTATCATACTAAGGAAAAACCAAACACAAGTGCAGCATTGGATGAGGGTTAAAAAAATGGAAAATCAGTGTATTGTAAATACATAGCACCTAGGACCACCCAGGAGTAATTATATGACCTTTATATACATAGACACAGGCCAGGTGCCTTTATATACAATTCTTTTAAAAAGCTGCCTTTATGATGAATATCAAATGGGTTCCGACTAGTAAATGAAATGACCGAGATGTCTGACCACCAGGGACTGTGGTTCTATTATTTTGCACTTTAGGTTTACCTCTCATTTGTCCCAAGTCTTTCCTCACCGAGTCTGTTTAAAACGTCTCCGCCATGGCTAAATCTGCCTAAGTACCACACTTTGAACAGCCTACAGGAGCCTGTTGTACTGTGTCTCATGTCCCCGTTCTCCTGCTCAGGTGCTGGCGACAGGGCTGAGTGGCCTGTACTCCTCCCTGCCCACGAAGCTGGAGGTCCACAGTGAGGAGTGGCACTGCCTGCACAGGGAGGACTGGATGCAGGTCCCTTCACTGGTGCAGTTCCTGAACTCCCTTGAGTTCTGCAATGCTGTCATACAGGTGACGTCTCCAGCCTCTGCGACCTTCACCATCTTCCAGAAGCTATTAAATATCCCAGATTTATGAAGAACAAAAATCTGACTTGACTTTTGTTGGTGTCATCAAAAATATCTGACTACAGAAGATGAAATTTGGTGCTGTGAGCTATAATTGGGCTTCCATATACACCTCAGCATGTGCATTTCATATTTTAATGTCAGCTGTCCCTGTCATTTATTCATTTATGTCTCCAGCTATAATGAAGTATGAATTGACTGTATTAGTTTCCTTGCACTGGCTCCATGCAGGATTTCAGAATAAGATTCAATATACTGCTTCAAGGGCTTGAACTGTGGTTCCTGACTACAGGAGTGAACTAACTCCATTTACTCCTATACTCCTACATGTCATTTGCAATCTTTGGATTCTGGGCTTTCAGTTCTGAATGTGAGGCTCCAGACACCAGGAGCCAGTGATTTCTGTTTTGTTTTGTTTCCTTTTCTTTCTCCGAGACTTCAAAATAATCTCCTAGTCCATATTAGATCCTTTATTGTAAATCAATCAACTCTTGTCATAAATCTCACTTTTACAATCTATTTCTGATTCCATTTAATTGTGTATACCTGTCTTTTGTTTCACTGTTTTATGGAACAGCACCTTCAGATGAGGTACCATGAAAGGAGTTATTTAAAATAAAGGCTGTTGTCATCATGACTATGATTCTGTAATATGGACTAATTTTCACTTGAGATTGAGATGAAATCATCCACTTCATTCCACTTTGATCATTCTTTGTCCAATTCTAATCAAGATTCGCAGAGTTAAGTATCAGTGAAGCTCTTGGCCTAATCTCCAGCACTGCATGGCATGGCTGAGGTTTGCTTATTTACTCTGGAACAGAGAGGCAACAAAGCTGTTGCTGGGATACTATACGCTGTGACTCTGCTGCTAAGAAGAAGGTGTTGCTGCCTAGCAGACTCCAGAAGTGTTTAATCATGCTTGTGTTCTTGTCCCAGGTGGCACATCCTACTATCAGAAACCAACTTGTCAGCTATATCTACAATGGCTTCCTTGTGCCTGTGGTGGCACCAGCTCTTCACAAGGTCAGTGAATCTTCATACCAAAAAGCCACCGATTCCTGTCTGAACTTGCAGCAGTCAGTCAATGTTTTATTAATTTAGAAGTTCAAATAAGGTTTAACATGCCCATCAACAACTTCAAAATAAAAAAAAAATCTGTAAATTTTCCTGTGTGGTCACATTAACATTAAGGTTTAACTGCATATAATTCATGCTTTTTTCTGATTTGAGCAATTCCCTTTATTAAAAGACCAGCCACTTGTCATCTATATTGTACTCTAACAGTATGTATAGAAAAGAATACTCTTTTGTTAGAGAAAAAAGTTCACAGGGTAAAAAAAACAACAAAACAGCAGAATAAGTGATGAGTTTTGAGGATTTTTGCGTTTGTTCGTTCCACCGATGCAGCACTGCTGATCATAGCTGGGAACATACAGGAAATTATTTTGAAGGTCACTTAGCTTGCTTATGTTGGATGTAAAGGAGGACCCATTCTTTCACAATCTTTAAAGGATTTAATTTCTTATCATTTATGGATGTATGAAGTGAAGGCAGTTGATGAGACCAGACTTGTTTTGGACTTTGAATGAGCTGACTGCGGCTCTGATAATCATAACAAAGAGGCTGCGTCTCTCCTAGTTGACATTGGAGGAGGTGATGACCACGACGGCCTACCTGGACCTGTTCCTGCGCAGCGTCTCTGAGCCCGCCTTGCTCCAGACCTTCCTCAGCTTCATCCTGCTGCACAAGCACGAGAAGGTGCACATCCTGGACACGCTGGTCAGCCGCATCAACACCCCCTTTCAGGTCAGGGATTGGAGGTGGTGGTGGTGGGGGGCTTTTACGTCTATAGGCGATACAGAATGTACAAAAATATATCAATTATATTGTGACAAATGAAGACTGAAATAAAATGTTTTTTCATAAAATTAAAGTTAATATTTTGGCATATACAGTACAGTAGCAATGGCTACAACTAATTATATTGGGTTTGTGAATACAGTATCTACCTTTACTAAATCGTGAATGTCAAGTACTGTACTTTAAGTGATTTTTGGTAATTGTTGCATCACTAAAGACAGAAGAAAGCAGTTTGCACTTAAAAATGATGTGTTATTATGTTTTGTTGCAGCTTGGCACTGTCTCTCTTGCCTTGTTTAGGACTCTGATTGGTTTGTACTGTGAGGATGTGATGTTACAGCTCGTCTTAAGGTGATTATACCCCACTTTCTTCCTTATTGAATTGTATTTCTCTTCTGTGAAATAATGGTTTGTGACAGTAAGCCATTTTTTGTATCAAATGGTCTTCTGAAACAGAATAAAACAGCTATTTGAAAATGTTGGAAGTATTTTTTTATTTTTTAAAACTCTCACAGATTTATTGTAAAACAATCTTTTGCTTCTCTTATTAACCTGTTATTCTTTGCTTTTTTCTTGGGGGTTCAGAAGCAGTCTCTGAAAAATTCTTATTTCAGTTTGAAGATGAGTTTATACAACATGTCTTGACAGGCAGTTCTCTCATTGAATTTAATTACTTACACTCCCCTTCAAATATAACTGCTCAAGCACAGCATGGTTTGCCAGGCGATTCAAGAAAGCTGCTTTTACATCTCCAGGTACCTGATCCCTTGTAATCACATGATGCTGAGCCAGCGCAGAGTGGTGAGGGAGAGGGATTGCTACTCTGTGTCTGCTGCCAAGATCCTGGCCCTCACTCCCTCCTGCTGCCCTCCAGAGCTCAGCCCGCTGCCCCGGAAACAGCAGCTAGACTGCATCCTCTGGTCAAAGGGCACAGACAAGCCTCAGGCCAGCGCCAAGGGTAAGATGACAAGAGCTGGGAATTACACACTTGAAAAAAGTACAGGAACTGTGAAATGTTCGAGTTAAAAAAACAACACAGGTGTTATGAGAATAAGTGTGGAGTACATGCATGTGGAAACATCCAAGACTGTGATTTATTGCTGTTCCATGGAGAACAGGATTATGTTACGTGATTATGATCTGATCTTATCTAAATTCCTCATCAGATTTTCCTTCCCCAGCAGCTGATAAATCTTTGTAATTGCTTTCGCATTCCTTTGTTTGTGGGGGGGGGGGGGGGGGGATTATACTTCAGCACAATTAAAAAGTCATTGTCTTTTTATCTTGGGCATGTTTAATCTCTCCATCAAACATATTTTTTTTTAAATTGAAATATTTCAGATTCATTTCATCAGATACTAAGAGAGTCATTCAATTATTTTTTAAAGTAACAGTTCTGTTCAGGGTTTAATTTTTTCCTCTGGTTTTGTTACTTTACATATGTATATATAAACCAATTCCTTTAACATTTCCATCTTATTTAATATACAGAGCAGCCATTTTCAGATGATGCCAGCCAGGAATATTCTTGTATCATGGGCTCTGAGACTGTCATGGATGTCAGTTACTTGCACTACTTGTATGATGCCCGCAATGGTATAAAGAATTGCATTAGGGCCTGCAGAGTCTGGTCTGCCCCCTATGATGGGAAAAACCCACCTCCTGAACAATACCAGCCAGGCTTAGGGGAGGAAGCAGGCAAACAGCCGAATCCAGCACTGGCCCAAAGAAAAGGAAGGAGCCAGGTGCCGTCGGACCTCAGCACCACAGGGGAGAGGGCCATTCCACTGGAGCTGGAGTGGGATGATAGTTATGACACTGTCCTGTCCCCCGATGGGGGCAAAAACGTCCTTCACAGCCTCCTGGAGGAGAAGGAACCTTGTCCAGTCGAGCCACCCAAGCACATTCAAGAAATGAGGAAGAATGCCATTATGCTCATCAAGGGATCCTACATCGAGGAGGGAGACTTTCAAGATGACGTCATGGTGTATAACCTCATCGCCCAGAAGGACGCCCAGGATGGCGCGGAGCACCGCACAGCCTCTAGACCGCCGGAGCCATCGACTCTTCCACTGAGCAATGGCCTGGCTCCTACGCAACAACCTGGCTCCATGGATGAGCAGAACAGGAAGAATTCTGGCTTGAGCTCGGAGGGGAACTTGATCAAAAAGAATAGTAAAACGCCAGCTGATCACAAGCTCTCTGAGGCAGACCACAACTCCAACCTGCACACTATGTGCCTCGGTGGAGAGGACCTTATCTCCGAGTATGATGAACTTATCAAGACACTGGGGGTGGAGCCTGTAAGTCCAGTTAAATGGGAAAAGGAGTTTACAAACCCCGTCACTCCTGTAGAGGATGATATGGACTTTGCCTCCTTTTCTGTTGACACTCCAGAACCAGAGAAAATACCTTCTCCGTTTGGGTCAAAGAATCACACAGGATATTCTTATAGTGGGAAAAGGAGCCCTGGAGTACCTTTCACTGGTGAGATTTTATGCGCTTTCGTGATAATATATGAAATGACTGGATTTCAATATTTCAACATTAGTTTTATATAAATGCGTATTTTACTTAAGTAAAGCAAAGGCTGTTTTGAGGATAACAATGGTTAATTCCATTGCAAACATTGAGGCTGTTGGCAAATATTGAATGTAGTCAGATACAGGTTCTGTAACTGTGTAAGAGAAATACAGTTTTTGCTGGAAAACCTTTTAAATTATGCTGATAATTACAGCTAACACTGGAAGAGGCAGCCATGGGTATTTTTTTAATAGAAGCTGCACTGCGAGAGACCATAACAAGAATTTGTTTGTTGTCTGTCACAGAGGGAGGGTCACAGTTTTTTTTTTTTGTTTATGATTTCCCTCACCTAACGAGGACTATAACAGCTTAACTTCTGACCTGATCAAAACAGTGGCAGGAATGTTATCACTTTCGATTGCTTCAAGCATCTTGTCTGAAATCATTAAATCATCCATTTTGCTGTCTGATGCTTGTGCAGCAGTAAAATATTCTAACAGTGATCCTACAGGATAAAGGCAACATGCTATTCAATTGACATAACACCTGCTGTGTGCATCTCAGTGGCCCAAGTTGACCAGAAACACTTGAAATTCATCCTGGCCATGTTGTGCTCTTCTGCAGGGCCATTCATCAGTGTGCTGCTCTCACGACTGGAGAACATGCTGGAGAACTCGCTGCACGTCAACCTGCTGCTCACAGGGATCATCGCCCAGCTGGCTGCCTACCCACAACCCCTGCTGCGTTCCTTCCTGCTCAACACCAACATGATCTTGCAGCCCAGCGTGCGCTCACTCTACCAGGTACTGCTTCTCTCACTGCTCTGCCCCAGGGGACTCAGGAAAAAGCTGCCTGTGAATCCCAGCAGACTGTTTGAAGCAATGTGCAACAATCAGATGAAATAATGCAACTTTCATTATCCCAAACAATTATGGAAATGAAGGGACTGTTCCCATTTAAAATGTAACTCGGGTGTTTATTTTTATTTTTTTTACATTTTCTGTATATATTAAGGGACATTAGATTAGTAAATATATGTAGATGATTAAATGCTAGGATGACCAATAGTTCTTTAAAGGAAACAAGGCTTCTGCTATAAATTGTGTCTCTAGACCAGGAGTTTGTTTTTATTGTTTATACTTGGTTAGCTGCCTTACATGGTTAAATAAAGGACTGAATAAAAAAGGTTCACGTCAGTGGTGAACAAAATAAATCTCCTCCTGTGAAGCATTTTGCGATCCTTTATTTGAATTATTTTTGAAGTCTTACCTATGAATGTAAGGTTACAAACGTGCTTACAAATGTTTTGTCAATATAGGAATGAACCTGAGTATAATTTTTTGTTTGGTTCCTAATTCTAAAAATAAACTAAACTCTTCACTGGAGAGAAACAGTTAAGAAGCAAAGTGTATTAGATAAGTGCATTTGTTTTTTTTTTTTGCACCACCTACGATGTACATTAAGAATGCAATTATAGAAGCAGACAGCTAAATTAGAGTGAGCTAAACAAAAACATGAACGCTTTTGAACATACTCAGTGTATACTAGAAGTTCAAACCTGGTAAAGCACGTTCATTTCAAAATCTAATTGCTGCTTTTCTGTGGTCTCATGTTTCGTTAAATCAAGTATTCCTCTGAGCCCGTGCCCAGAGATTTCTGTTTTGACTGATGTGGTTTTTCTAATTGATGGCATAAGCCTTCAGAGGAATAAAAATGCATATAATATATATTAAGTCTTTCAAGAACATTATACATAATTGACATTATGTCTTCTCGCTTGAGATTATTTTCTAATTTAGGACATAAATTGGCTGTATCTGTCTGACAGCCATGTGTACACGCAACAATAAACCACTGACTGCCTTGAAACCTACAGCTATCCTCACTGGTGCTAGCAGTGAGACACTAACGCTAACATTGCTATTACACAGAAGGAGTGGGTTTACAGGCAAAGCACATCAGTGTAAGGATTCCTGCAGTATGTGTTGTTTTTTTACATTCATCCAAATTAAACAGTCACAGACTTGTATAGATTGGCATATTAATGATGCAGTAAATTTTATACATTATAATGGCTGATTCTGTGTAAATTCAGTTAAAGGCCAAGCAACATGCAACAGTTTGAAGTTGCCAAACTCTGTGAATCCATTAGATTCAGCTACAGCATTGTTCTCTGTATTTACTGCAATATAAATGTATGTTATGGTTATTGATGAAACAAGATACTTAATTTCAATTCTCATCCACAACCTCCTGAGTAAGCAGTTAGACTGGATGGCCTCTGTACATCATGTGAAAACACAAAGATGAACTTGTTCAAGCTTAACTTACTGAAATTGGACATTCAGTTAAATGGAGAAATTTGTAATATAGTCATTTTACCCATCACTTTACATCTCCTGAAAGTCTGTATTGTCTTTCTGCAAATGTTGACATTGTATTCATAATGATGCTATGAATTTAATAAACCTGCATTGTGCATTTTCACATAATGTCCATGCAACCATTAAGTCATAGCTGCTTATTCAGGATATGATGGACACTGTTTTAAAAAAATATATATCTCGAAAGCAGCAGCATGAAGACACCTTTTTGAATACTTCTGTGGCAGATGCCAGAACGGTTTAATTGCAAGGAAAGACCTTTGTGCCCACACACGATATTGATGTTTGTAGGTTGTGTCTGCTTGCTTGAGAGGTAATACTGTATGTGTGATCCACAGGTACTTGCATCTGTGAAGAACCAAATTGAACAGATTGCTTCCACAAAGGCCGACTTCTCCGAGCTAGTGAAGGATGCACAGCAGTACCTGCTTTACCAAGAGGCTGCGCTTAGAAACAGAGGTTAGCTTTATTTTTTACTGGGGTTTTATTATTCTGCGTCAAATTTATCTAGATTTTCTTACTGTCACCTGAGGTCTTGTCAATGTGACAGCTTTTAGGTAGTATTAGAATATTCGAAAGGAAATAAAATCATGTAACCTTACACTCTGTGGTGTCTTTTGAAAATATCAGTGCAAGAAAGCAAAAGTAAATAATAATTTTATCAAATCAGCAAAATCATATTAATCACAGATTATTAATATTATGAGCAGTAGTGGCACTTATTTAAAATTTTAACAGGAGTAGCTTACTTAGGATATAAGGTCTGCATATTTTCTCACACAACTAATAACTTGATGAACCCATGCAATATCTGTAGGGCTGTGACTTGGCATTTTTTCATTGTTGCAGAAAAAACAACATAGAAAGGAAGACCTCAGCATGGAAGTGTTGTCAAGCTAAAATAATGAAAGATTTATTGCTGCTTCAGTGACATTTATGGTTAAGTTGGCTTTGTCAATTTTTCCTTTCTGATTCAAGAGTAAATCTCCCTTTGTCTTAGACCTGAGCAATGTTTGACTGTCAGCAGTATTTCTTGGTTTCAACAGCTGACTGATTGCTCATACCAGAGATAGGCCTGCTGCTGCACCTACCTTTCCATCGGTTGGCTGGAGAAAGCACTGCTAACATTCAGTGTTTTCTCCAGTGCTTTCAGTGCTTTGTGGAAGGGGCTGATTGTAGGTGGCTCTTAAAGGTGCTAACATATTCACAAGGCCTTGTGGTGAAATACTCCACAATTACAGTTCTTGGATCTCATGGAGTATACTGCAACTCTTTTTGCCATGTCCTACTCGTTTCACTCTTTGTATGGAAACAAAATCCATACACATTTAATGGCAAAGTTGTGCAGAAACATCACCCGTTTTATTTTAAACTTGTGGTTAATTTTGATAGGCTGCTTTTTGCAAAACAAAATACTGTGCAAATATTTTAGCTTTAATGGATGTGTAGAGAGGAACAAGTGATATTTATGCTGACAATGAATCTTTTAAATTCAGTTGTTAAATTTGATAGGTTACAGCTCCTACAACCCTTCAAATTTGCTTCTTAGATTAGACATAATCTTATTGGTTTTTAAATATTCTGATCAATACGAGTTATATATTTCTACATGATGAACATGTTCTCACCCAAACTAAACTGTAATTAATCAAAAATTGTATAATAGTAGAAAATACAAGTGGAAGCTTGTGATCTGAGTCATTCAAAATAACCCTATCACACCCCAGCCTGATATATTAATTAGGCACTTACTGTCCTATCTGTTGAATTTTTGGCAATGGGACATCATTACAAAAGGTCTCTACTCTTTCAGATATATCTTTAGAATAAAAGAAATCCTTATTTTTAATGAAACGCAGATGGCTTTAAACCAGACTCAACAGTTCAAATGTGTTTAAGCAGTTCCTTAATGCTGTTTTTTAAAACTGTGGGGTTGTTTTGTGGTATTTCTCAATAATATGCATTATGACTTTTTCTGAAAGTTGGAAATACACTTTCCAGCTCCTTCTAAAACCCAATTGTATGGCTTTCTTAAAGATCTCATCCAGGACCTCCTTGTTGTGGAGAACGGACAGAAGCTTCAAGAAGAAGAAACCAGAGCTCAGCTGTTGCCTACCAGCAAGACCAGGAAAGCCTCGCAACAGCCCAAGATTCCCCCACAGGCAAGAAACGTTGTGTTTGGAACTGTCCTTTTTATGGAATTTCTTAAAGAACTTGCAGCCATTGCACAGGAGCACTCGATTTTATCATACATTCCAATGGAAGAATAGAGTTTTAATCAAAGCTTGTTTTTATGCCCATTTTGTATCTGGATATTTTATACTTTTTGAGGACTTCGAAAGTTTTATTTTTATCTCATGTTCCTGGCACTACTTGATGAAGAAGATACCTCTTTGGTGGATGGAAACCTTTTTTCTGTCTTAGACTGGAAGAGACCGGGGATTTACTTAAGGCTGGTGAATCATTCCTTTCTTATTTTACCATTTCAGAGATGTCATAAACCTCTCACTTTTCTGATAAGCAATAACTTAAGACACTCTCTCAGAATGGACGGCTGTAGAGTTGCATTTGTTAGACCTCTGATTATCATTCTACTGAGGACTTGCATTATGAGCTGGATTTGTGCTACAGGTTGACAAGCTAAAGACTCAAAGGAATACATTAACACAGTTGATGTGGTATTAAGATATACCTTCTCAACTAAAGGAGACATATTATTTCATCAAAAAACGATCCATTAACTTTTCTTATTAATTTGTGATCTGTTTCTTGAGATTTACACAATAAGGACTCTAGCTTTCTTTAATTTGTGGTCTTGCACACTACTGGTGGTACTCATCTACCTATGTAGATCACAGAAAATCCTTTGTGTTTCATATGTATTTTATAGGGTAGTGACTTTGACTTTGATTTTACAGCATTCAAGGGCTTAGTTAAATTACGTTTCTCCTGGAGAAAACCTGGTGTGTTGTAATGAAGTGATTTATAATTTCATTTGCTGAGCTGAAGCAAAGCCCTTATAGAAAGGCTATAATATCATTGACAATGAGTTCAAAGGATTTTCGAGAACTGCAGTCTCTTGAACCTGCTGGTATTCGTTTATTGAGCTGCTTCGTACCACCTCTAGTATTGGTTATGACATTCTCAATTTAAAAAATTGACTTCATTTCAGATCAAAATGTGTTTGATAACAGACTGATTTGTTTGGATTTGATTTATTTGGTAGCCATTTGTTGGATTTTCTTTCAGGTGAAGGAAGTCAAAATTACATGTAGGCTTACTGGGCTCAAGGGAACCATTTAACTAAGTACATCAAATCAAGGAACAGTGCTGGATAAGACTCCGCACCGCTTCTGTCGTCCTGAAGGATACTCACAGATGTTATGAAGAACATTTTTAGTTGTGTATTCATTATTATCACAGCTATTGTATGTTTTAGATAAGACCAAATTTACTAGAGCACAGTAGCTACTTAAAATCCCTTGTCCAGTGTAAGAAGAAATGGAATTTTGAATCATGATCCATCGATCGCCTAAAATCAGAAACTGGATTTGTAATCCTGGTTACAGTTATCTACTGAACTTGAGTTTAAGAAGCCTGCATGTAAACAGAGAAAGGAAAAATTCTACAAGTACACCATCACAATCACTGTAAACAACCTCACCACTTTCCAAGGAAGTGAATGAAAGTAAGTGGGCTTTACAAACTGCAAATGCCTTAATGTTAAAGAGTTTTGGATGATGATGACTAAGAGCCTCTCTGGAAATTTGGGTTTGTCTATGCAGATGAAATGTATTTTGGGTTCTATACTGTACATGTAAGCCTTATTTTAGTGCTATTTGCACATGTATATTGTAGTAAATAAGAAAACATCTATGCAAATTCTAAGTAATATTATTGGGGAGAGATTTTACTACATTATATTTCTTAGATGGGGAAGGGTATTTAAATGTTTTAGTTTTTTTATAGAGAGCAATCAAACTCACCTATTTTTTACGTAAAAATCTGAAAATTGTTTTGTGAAGAAGCATGCCCTTTATGTTTTACGTGCTTTTCATTTTGTAAGTATAATGTTGAGGAGTATTGTACAGAGGGGCAAAAGACCTTAATGTGAATTCAGTTCAACAAGAAGGTCTGCCTCACTTTTAATACATGAAAATTTCAAACTGATCCAGTTGACAGAACTTTAAACTCAATGTCGGTTATTACAAAATATCAAATGCAATTTGTCCAAATATAACCATAGAAGGTTGGTTCCTTGATTTTAACCAGGATTTATACTGACATGAAGAAGTCCATTTGACAAAGTACAATAAATATTTAAAATGTGGTTCTATTTTCTCTGAATCATGAGATAAGTTAAACTTACCAAGGAGCTACCAAATGGCCCACCATCTTTTGGAGAACAGAGTGGCTGTTGTAGAGGTTGCTGGTTCAGATCCCCGCTGTGTGGGGCTATTTCAGCAGAGAAGTGAAATACACAGCGTGGATATTTGGTCTTCCTCTTTGTGCTGGAATGAGTGTCAGAGAGGTAAGCTGAATTGGTCAACAAATTACAGGTCAACATGTGTGGTGGGAGACTACACTCATAAAAATGGCAGTTCGCAAAATCTAGGAAAAAATGGGATATGAATTTGATCTGATTCATTTGCACATTGTCTAATTCCAGCACAATGCTGATAATAAATTTTGACTACATTGTTTTTTTCTACTTTTGCTGCCATCACCCATATACCAGCTGTGTAGTGCAGGGGGAAGAAGACCACCAACATGATGAATCTGATCATGAAATCTTATGACAAGCTGTTTTTTTTATTTATTTTTATTACTTTCCATTATTTACTTTCCAGTGAATAATGTTTATTTCAGGAAGAGAACGCTGCCTGAGAATACAGAACTTTTATTTAAAAAGAAAATACATTTTTAAGTACGTTTCCTACCTACTATAGTAACAACTGTGTAAGTTATTTTATAGAATTCATTCCAAATATTTCCCTTCTCCGGATTTTATCAAAACATTTAAATGTCCACTAGAATAAGAGGTAACCAACAATTCATTTCTACATCCCAGTGTCATGGTCTCAGGAATCATGAGTAAAACAATAAAGTTTCCTTTAAATAAAGTTCTAAAATGTTGTGTATATCAGTTATTGATTCTTGATTGATGAAACTGATAAATATAAGTTTTTCACTCTCTGATGTGCTGTGAAGTACAAAAAAAAGCTCTCAGAGTTTTTTGGGATAATATGAAGAGCAATATCTGTTACAGGTTTAAAACAGTAAAAGATAGTCTAAATTTACAATTTCAGTCACAAAGATACAAGACATATAATGGTCTTCTGGAATCTAGAGAAGAGCAACCAGATACATACTTGAGTTGAAAGGAATGTCTTGCAGTGACAGGCTAAAACATTAACCTGGTTTTTAAAATCAACCTCATCTTGAACTGTGGAGACAACAAGAGGACCTGATTCACATATTTAAAATCAACAGTTATTGACAAGCTCAGCCTAATATACAAAAAGACAAGTGAAAACAAGGTGGATGCACATTTAAAACTGACTCTAAAACTAAAAAACATCTTCACACAAATGTTGTGTGAGTATGGTATATTCCCAGCTGTACCAGCTTCTGGTATATTAGTTGTACTGAAATGGTTGAATAAGATACGTGGATCATTTAACTACTGTACAAATTAAAGAAACAAATTAATTAGATGGGCCAAATTGCAGCTTCTTGTCTGAAACCCTTCTTATGTACTAATTGGATTAGAGGAATGGGTGAGTATTAGGATAGATTTCTGTTTCCTATTACAGCCTTGCCTGAGACACAATGTTTTTAGTAATTATAAAAATAATTTGTAAAATGTTCATAGTAATAAACATGAATCAACCTGTTAAATTTTATTCAGTAAAGAAAAGTTTTTGAAGGCTCCATATCAATTTCTACTTTGTGAGTAAGCTTGCCCTAATTAGTGTAAACACTGCTGTACTGGCATTTCTATTTGTCAGATCTTTAGTTTAAAACTACAGTAGGTCTACTTTAAAGGATGCAATAATGGGCACTTTATGAATGGGGATTAGTGCACCCATGTAACTGATCCTCTACTGATTTTCCATTTAACCATTATCACAATTTTCTTGATCATAAATGTAACTGAAAAATGTGACCTAGAAAAAAAGTACAGTAAATGAACAAAAATCCTTTTAGATGTGAGGAGTTGGAAGAATTCCATTGTCCTAAACAAAACTGGAACCACTGCATCATAAAGCCATTTAGAGTTCTGCTTTCAGAGCAGTGTCCAAAAACACCTTCCACTGGCAGAATCATTGATCTCAGTGTCTCCTTGCTGTGCTCTCCTGTGTTTTTTGGAAAGTTAAATTTGGATGGAATCCCACTTTCCTCACTTAAGGTTAGCAAGTGTATATTCCAATCAGGGCCACTCTATTTTTAATAGATCCTGAAGTACCCTATGCTGCACGTCAGGAATTTCCAAATCCATACATTAATGAAAATGTATAAAATTGATTTGCATTCGCTCAAACCTCATACTCTACTTACTGCTTGGATCTGATTTTTAGTTTTAGAACTGTAAACTGTCACTGCTACTGGCTTGCACACACTGAAAATCATTTTGAAGCGGAGCTATACTGAGCTACACAGAAGGAAGTAACCCATTTTACTTCATCACTTGCCTTTCATGTTAATTAGCAACCGAAGCAGGTGAACTTGCATTTCTGTGTTTCATGCTTCTGCACGTTTAATTAAACTTGCAATTACCAAGCAACTCTAAACAGCTTCCAGCAGGCCTGTTGTTGCAATAAAATGAGAAGTGGCTTTTGAAACATATCTGTGATGACTTTTTAGTTTTTCCTGTAGCTTTTTTTTGTGTGGGTACATTTTTTTAAAAACATTATGACTTCATTTCTAAGAGTTATTTCTAAGTTTATGGAAAAAGTGATCCAAAAAAACATTGAAATGGCCTAATCACACAACTGTTTTCTAACTTTATCACAAGTTACTTTTAAAACTGAAAATTTTGCAACGAAATTAAACATAAATACTATCCTATATCAAACAAATTATGCAAAATTAGGGAGCATATTTACAAATTCCAAAACAAGGTCTTGCTCCAAGACCTACACTATTTAGCTAACGAGTTCTGAAATGAGAAACTGTAATCTCTTTCATGTGCTGTTTAATACGCTATTAGACGTTCCAGTTTAGCACGGGATTAAAAAAGGCAGAGCAGTGACTGTTCTTTTGGGTTTTGTTAAACGGCTAAAAAATCAGTAGACAAAAAGCACTGATCGTCAGATCTGCCCTGATTATCTGGCTTCCTGGATCTTTCTTTTTGTGTGAGAAAATCAGATATGAAGCAAGTGCTAGAATAAAAAGTTAAACTCTACTCAGTTCAACTTAGTATTCTACTGTTTAAGTATTGTCAGTAAGACTAGGGGTTAGCAGCGTACAGTATGTGGCCTGCTGGAAAATACACAAGCTGTACTTCTGTGGCTCATGCTCTGTAATGGTAACTCTTCATCTATCATGTATACTGTAGTAATGTATAGTTCCTAGGATGATGGAAGTGTGCCAGTACGCTCAGTACATGAGCTACCAATGCGGAGGAGAAGTAATTAAGCCAATTCATAGGTGGGGCTTAATGGCCCTGATTGGCCAAGGAGAAATTTGACCAAGATGCCAGGATAACACTCTTAAACTATTCGAGAAGCGCCATGGGATTTTTAATGTCCACAGAGAGTCAGGACCTCAGTTTTACGTCTCATCCAATGAATGGCACCATTTTTATAGTATAGTGTCCCTGTCACTATACAGAGGCTTTTGGACCCACACAGACTGCAGGATGAGCACCCCCTACTGGCCCCAATAACACCTCTTCTAGCAGCAACCTTAGCCTTCCCAGGTGGTCTCCCAGCCAGGTACAATACTAGCCAGACTCACACCTGCTTGGCTTCAGGGGTTTGGGAGTTGCGAGTTGCAGGGTGATACAGCTCTGAGCCCAACACTGTATCTCCCCAACTCAATTTTTACTGAGGCTCCTGTGAAGCAAGTAGAGGATCCATAGCTTAACTGTAACATTCTGTTCTTGCAAGAAAGCTGTCGTTATTGGAGCTGCATAAAGACTGTTATCCTGCTGGGAGGCTGTCTTGTCAGGATGAGCACAAAGGAAAGGCAACAAGTGAGGTCCCAGGTCTCGATCGATACAGTACCGTGAGATCTGGTTGCCATTAATCACTACAAAAGTGGAGTTCTTCAACAGCTAAACATTCCTACCCTGGCCATTACACATAAACCTCCAATTAATCTTGGCAAAGTGTTAGGATTAATGATCTCCCAGGTCACAGCCCATCATTGGCGTATACCACTTACAGTAAAAAAATATATAGTCATAAATGTATATGATTTTCACTGACTTGGATGAGAATTTCTTCCATTTAAAAAAAAAAAAAATGCCTGAAACCTTACCTCAGGGACACGACCTATGAGAGCAAATGCAAATCCCCAGCCAGCTGAGTGAATGAACCACAGACAGAAAGCACTGAACTTACAGTGATATAAACCAATTTTAGCACTTGAGTGGGTTTTTCTTTCATTCTGAAGCCTCATTTCATTTTCTTCTTAAACCATTGAGTAAGGATTCATTATATCTTAATTTGAAAATTAATCTACTGAAAGCAGGTTTTAAGTATTCAGTTCTGTAGACCTAAGAAATCAATGAGGTCAGAATCTGTCTAAATGCCTAAAGAGCTGCTTAAACTTTTGGCTTACTTCAGTTGTGTATTTACCTTTAGAGCTGCACAAAATTACATTCGTTGTTGTTACTGATTTTCTCATTTGAAGAAAGCAACGAAGCAACAATAATAATGAAGGGGTTGTATTACACAGGACAAAAGCATAACCTGTTTATTAGCTGTGGTGTACCCTGTATGGTTCAGATCATGACCTACATACTGTACAAACTATTTTTTCTTTCTCTTGACAATCACCTCCATACTGTAAATGTTTTCAATGTAGCTTGTTTTGAATATAGATACCTTAATAGAAAATACCTGGCTCAATATTGACAGGAAAGTATAAAAATGGTCATAAAAAAGAATGACAATACTGGCATTTACAGATTTACAGATCAAAATCTTTAACAATTTTCAGTATCCAAAAGAAAAAAATCCTAAAAACCTTTGCATGCCATGAAATGTATTTTTTATTTTAAAATGTCTGCATTTTTTGGAAAGGTGTCGGTGTGAGCCCACAGTGGAAATGGCCACCCAGTCTCACTCTTCCTCAGGCATGGCTGTACCCTGTGGTCTCTGCAATCCAGCTTCAGCTCAGTATATAATCTGTTGTAAGGAAAAGCTTCTTACCAGCTCTCCTGGTTTTCATCACATGCATCTATGTATTGGATTGAACACCAATTCAAAATTCACAGAGATTGCATCTTAGTTTGCATTTCAGAAACAATGCAGCAACATCCCTCTTGGATTTATAAATCCTGAACAGGTGTTTATCTCTCCAGTATGTCAGGGAGGGG